TGAATATAGTCAGCTGCTGGCTCCAGTGCAGATGACTGTTTCAGAGGCGGCTTCACTGTTTGAGCAAATTAATTCAGAGCATTGCTGGGCTTTTTTTTTCTTCCTAGTCAGTTTTAGACACGGATCCCTCTATATTCAAACATTTTGTTCTGTCCCGTCGCTTCTCTCGTCCTCCGGAACGCCATGCTCACAAGCTTTGCCATTAGCTTCTGTCCCACAAGTCACTGAGGCTCTGTCCACCTGTGCAGTTTTTCTCTCTATTCTTCGGTCTCGGTGGTTTCTATTTCTCTGTCTCCGTACCCATAGGTGTTCTCTCCTATGTGTCCTGGCTGTTATTCATGCCACCCAGAGAGTGCTTGGTTTAGACATCGTGTTTTTCAGCTGTAGGAGTTCAGCTTCACCCATTATTTCCATCTCCTCCTGGAAATATTTACCAATCATAATTATTACAATGATTTAAAAATCTTTATTCAACGATTTCTACCGCTGGGTTGTCCGCAGACCTGCTTCTACTGACTGACTTTTCTCTTGACTGTGGACCAGAGTCTCCCGTTTCTTTGCGTGCCCTGTCATTTTCATTTTCCATGGACGGTGTCTGAGGAACCGCAGTCGCTGAAGTTAGTTTGCTGTTGCTCATCCGAGAGGAGCTGTGCCTTCTTTTGCTAGGCCGCTCAGGGACGGGCTGGCCGGTGTAACGCAATCGGGAGTGGAGCGCGCTTAGGATGGAGCTGTGGTTTTAACTCCTCCAACAGGACCTTGGATTTCAACCACAGGGGCTAAAGGAATTTCTGTTTGCTTTTCAGTCCAGCCAGGACGTATGCTGCCCCAGGGCTCGTATCTTGGGTCCTGTTAGAAGCTGAATAAGGTGAGGGTTTGGTTAGACTGAGTTCACTTCTGACTCTAAACGCTTCGCAAGGGAGCTCAGGCCTCTCCCTGCAGGATCTCTCTGGGACCAAACACTACAAGACTGCTCGACATCAAAAGGACAAGGCGTCAAAACTGTGAGACCACAAGACAGCGCGATGGCATCCCCAGAGCCAGGCACGGGGCGGGGTGCGTCATCGGTGCCCTGCAAACGGGGAGCCAGAACTCCCGCCGTCAAACCACAGCTCCGACCCAGACCGTCATTCAGCCTTCCGCGTCTCAGTGGCCTCATCTGGAGACTGGGTAACAGGATCACCTACTTCACCGAGCTGTTGTGATGATTAAATACATGAAGTGTTAGGAAGGTGTTAGCTCTGGCTCCTCGTGAAAACTGCGGCCCTTTTCATCCATGTGAGGAAACCGTTGAGGGTGAGCGGGGAACGGAGGCAAGGTAATGACAAAGGTTCAGAAACCTCTTGCTTACACCCGTGGTTAAGACTCCACCTGCCTTTCCCGATGGAATTGGACTGGCCCAGTGCCTCTGCAAACCCTGCTTTTGCTGCGGGGACCCTCCAAGTGCCCCCCTTCAATCCACTGTCTTTTGTCCTTTCTGCCCCTTCTTCCCATCCTTAAGGCTCCAGACCACAGGAGTTTGGTCCAAAGGCACGAGTTCTGGGGGGAGAGAAGTTGTGACTTAGCAAGGCTTCCCCTCCTCGGCCTGTTGAGGAAAAGGCTGTCTCCCCGAGCTTCTGCCCGCCTGCTTTAATCACCCCTGGGAGAGAACAGCCCAGAGATGTCTCCGGACGTTTCATTCAGGAGCCTGCCGCTCTTCCGTGAAAGCACTTCCCACCCCGGCTGTGGGGGGCGTCACCTCCCAGCCACGGACCACACGGCAGCACGCTGACCAATCGCTGGGAAAGGAGGCCCTGGAGAATCTGTTTCAAAAGAACCTGCAGCAAGATTGTCAAAGGAGGAGAGCCGGCTGGGAGTGGGCTCAGTGCCCAGGGCTGGGGGCTGAGAACACGGCCCCGTTGGGGCTGACCCTTCTGACAGCGGAGGCCCCCCGCCCAGGGCTGACTGTCAAAGATGCTGAGAATTCAGAACTGGCATCTCGGAGGCCAGGAGCCCGGCCCCTTCCCTCTGTTCACAAGGACACATCTGTCACTTCGGCTTCTGGTCAGGAGTCCACCCTTCTCAGGGAAGCCCTGGGACGGAATGCACGGTCCTCCTCCCCTTGGCCCTCATCCTCCAGAGGCTGAGCATGGAGTCATCTCTGGATGGGGCCACAAAGAACAGAAGTGTCCGGCATCACCTCCTGTTGTGCCCTCCAGCCCCCAGCAGTGCCCCCACCACACACACCCTCGACACTTCTCCTTTGTATTTACAGACTAATCAGACCCAATCCGTCCCGCACCGTATCTCCTAAACACTCACTGCTCGCGATTAGTCAGCGAGCTGGCGGTGCCGCCGGCCGCCCATGTGAGCGTCTTGTTAATGATGGAAGAAGGCTGCCAAACGGCCAGCGCTGCTCCGGATGGGATGGTGAGATGTGGGTCTTGTCCAGACCGAGGAGGCAAAGGCCGTCTGGCGTGGAGAGGAGATGCCTGACATTTAATCGTGAGAGAGAAACAGGCCCTCTCGGCGAAGAGCAACAGTAGGAGTCCCCCCACGTGCCCCCCTTCACCCCAGATGACCTCGGAGACCCGGCAGGCTGGAGGAAAACCTCAGACTACCAGCCGCCCCTGCGTTACACACCTAGGCTTCTCCCCAGAAGCCAGGGTCTAGAGATGGTCCTCGGTGGCAGCAGCAGGAAGGATTTAAGCCAGGTAATCAGAAGTACTTCCCAGTGTGAAGGGCTGGTAAAACCATTCGAGGACAGGTTACTAAGGAAAGCAATGTTCTGTAGGACCTGTAGATCCTTTACTCCAAGTTCATCAGCGCAGTCTGCACCATGTTTGTGTCTGTTTGTGAAGAGGTTCTATCTTTCCATCAACACATGACGTGGAGGAAACCTGGTGCTATATATAGTATGTGTACTTGGTGACCAAGGAGGTCTTCTCCCAGTGGATGCCCGGCCATGGAGGGGACCAGGCAGCACCTGAGTGATGAGAGCAGCCACTGTGTCAGTAAACCTGTACAAACCGAGTGCCGAGTGCCTGGGCCAGAGGCCAGGGAACCACATCCAGAAGGAACCACAGCAATATAACGGCACCAGAGAGCACATCTTTGTACCAGAGTGTGCACGCAGGAGGGGTCGGAGAGGGACTGGGAGGAGGCCCCGCGGGGAGTGGAGACTGAAGACTGGGGCGGGGAGACCTCAGCTGGTCCCGAACCAGGGGTTTCAGGCAAGCTCCAGGGGGGCATTTTGGGACCCCTGGAACTGCTGTCTCCTCCCAGGAACCTGCTCTGAGACAAGTGCCCAGAGCCACAGGGCTGTTAGAAATTGTCACATGGAAGATGTGACCTTTGATCAGAGGCAGGGTCTTGAGAAGGGACGCTCTCGAAGGCCTCCTTCCGGCCTCCCAGAGCCTCTCACAGGCCTAGGACGGGGCTCCGTGCACCACCCCAACCCCACCCCACTGGGGACGCCCAGGAGCTGCAGGCTCACCTGCCCAAGGCCCCGGGGGCCAGCCCCCAGAAATAAGCGCAGGGCCCAGCCCCCACCCCGCCGGCCCCAGGCCTAACGCTCTTCTGCGGAGACCAGTCTTTAGGGAACGAGACCCCTTCCCTCTCCACCTCCGTGGGAAATTGCAAAGGCACCAGCGAGGAACAAAGCCGAAGTTTCCAGAAAGGAAGAAAGGCCTGTTCAAAAGGCCTCACGGCCTGGAGGTTAGGCATGCGGGCTCCCAGGCCCACAATGTGGAGGTTGAACGTCTGGCTCTGCCATTATCAGCCCATGACCTTGTAAGCAAAGGAATCTGGCAGGATGAATCTGTGTAACGGGGACAAATAACAATGCCGACCTCACGGGCTGACCTGAGGAATAAATGAGTCAATGACAGAAAATGCTGGAAACAACACAGCGTGGAGGAGGCTCTCAAAAAAAAAAAAAGCTGCCTATTACTTATTAAACACCCTTCTGTCAACAGCAGAATCACTGTTTCGTTACAGGAAGGGCTTACAGAAGCATCTAATTGGAAGGGGAGCTTAGAGACTTACTTTGAAAATGCATTTGCATAGCAAGCAAGTCTTTGTTCCTTTTTCACTATTTCTTCATACTGTAAGGGAACAATAGAAATGCTTTCTTCATAGAGTTCTTGAGGGATTCAATGAAATGACACGGATAATGTGCTTAGAAAAGCAGCCGGCCCCGAGCAACCACATGGCTAAGGTCGGTAGTTTATTTGGGGTGGAAAAGTGCTGGACAGGTCTGGGGAGGGAGGGGGACGTTCTGCCCTGCCCCCGCTGCAGCCCGGCAGCCTCTTGTGAGGAAGCTGCGCTCTGCTCTGCAGCCAGCATCAATCTTCCCTGCTACGGAATAAGACAGCATTTAGACAGGAGAATTTCCTGAGAATCAATCAGGATGTCAGGCAGGACCAGGTTCCCAAGGAAGCCTGTGGATTCTTCCCTGGAGGCACTCATGGGTCCAGGACAACCCTATGGACTCATGCCTGCCAGAAGACTGAACATCAAGATGCCAGAAGGTTTTCTGGGCCTCAGGACCCTAGCTTCAAACACCGAGCTCCTGTAACAAGGACCAAGGACGTCCAGTCCTCCTGGCTCCCCGAGGCCCAGAGTCAGGAAGGGGTGGGGGGGCTGGACCATAAAACAAGGACCCTGGAAACATCCCTTGCTCTCCAGCTGAGAGACACCTAGACACACACATTTACCTGCTCACCAGCTCTAGGCCTGGCCTGACCCCTGCTGGGGGGCCCAGGGGATGGAGACAGGGCCAGGGGCCTCGAGCCAAGGGGGGGACTCACTTAACGACAGTGGAGACACCTCATGCAGCCTCAGGATACAAGGCTGCCGCAGCCGTTCTGAGCTGCCCCACTGGCCCCAGCTCAGGACGCCTTACCTCATGGATACCGAAGTGGGCGTAGGAGTCGAAGTAGTAATCCCTCGAGGTCATCTCCTCCGGGTTCAGCAGCTTGGACATCTTGCCCCGGCCCGGGCAGCTGGGCTGGGAGGACACGTGGTGGACACACTGCACGGGCTTGGCAGGGATGACGGGCTGTGGGGGCTGGGAGGGGGGGCTGCTCACCTGCGGGGGTGAGAAGGGGGCCTGGTGAGAACCGCAGACCCGAGGTCCTGCCTCTGACACCACATCCACCTCCACCTCCTCGAGCCGGGCTCCAATCAACCATGGCAGCTGTGGCGCAGTGGGGGCAGTGCCACCAAGCCTTCTGGCCGTCACCCCGATGGCTGAGCCATGAGAGATGGTGGCATGCGACTCAGGAGCCAAACCAATCTGAATTTAACCCAGTTCCACCTCCTAGGTGTGGGTGGCCTGAGCCAATCTGGGCCTCAGTTTGCATATCTGTTAAATGGGGACAATACTGCCTTCCTTTAGAGGCAGATCTAAGCATTCAGTCCAGGGGAAGATGCCTTGACATTACACAGCATCACATAGCAGAGCAGCTGGAGCGTGGATTCCAGAGCCCTCACCTCGAAACGTGAATCCCAGCTCCGCCACTCAACCTGGGACAAGGGGTTAGTCACCTCTTGGTGCTCACCTCCCCCACTCTAAAATGGGAATAAAATGGCCCCCATCTCCTAGAGGCCTGGACAAGCTGGAGTCTGTAACGCACTTAGAAAAGGGAGCAGCGCGCAGCGGGTGTGTGTTAACCTAAAATGAGTGGTACCTGCGTTCTTAGGAAGAGCAGACCCCCCCACCTCCCGAGGCTTCTCTCCACCCCACGGGCAGCACTTGGGCCCCCCAAAGGCAGGGCTCTCGAGTTCTGGCTTGTCACACCTGTGTCTTCCCCCCCGTGGTTTCTGGTTCACAGTTTTACTCTGAACTTCGGCAGACATTTCCTCTGAACTGTGAATGCGCCGGCCTCTTGGCAACGCCCTCCAGGTACTGCCCTTCTTGGGTCCCCAACTCCACCGGCCAGCCCTGCTCCACACCCCACCCGCCGCCCGGCACTGGGCGGAGCGGACGGCGGAGGGCGAGACGCAAGCTCGGAGGTTCGGGCTTCGCTGCGGAGCACGGCTCTGCCCGGAGAAGTCAGTCCTGGCCCTGAAGCGTGGGGAACGCAGACGCGCTCGGCGCAGCGAAGGCCTCCCAGGGGGCAGAATTCCAAGTCTATTTTTAAGTGACGAGTTAATATGTGCAAAGAGTTTAGGACACTTGCCGGCATCTAGTGTGTGCTCTGCTATTACTGTCACTGTCACTGGCAGTTCTATCCAGAGTACGTTAACCTGTCCCTGCTCCACGTCTCAGTTTTCCCATCTGTGAGCTGGGCCAACACAGACTTACTAGCTGCATTCCAGCAAGCGAAACAGGGAGGTACCAGGACAGAGCAAGATCGAGACATCCCAGTGAGTCCATCCCCTCCACCATGCGGGGGGCACAGCCCCAGGTGGCCCTGAGTCCCGGCTGGAGAGGCAGGAGGGTGATGGTCCCATTTTCCCAGTGTATCTAGGCTACCGCCTCTGGGAAATAAGCAGACTTCCCAGTTTAGCAACATCAGATTTCAGGTCGCGCGATCCCGGGCTGTCTGGCAGCAGAAGCAACCCGGCTGTCTCATTAGAATGCAGCAGGTGTGCCCACCCTCCGCTTGGGATGTTGGTCACGGTCTCTGGGAGGCTAAAAATAGACCGTGTCCATTGCACGCTCCCGAGCTGGCTGCAGAGTCACCTCTAAAGCCGGAGGAGGCTCTGTGCATGAAGCTGACCCCAATCTTGACTCCATTTAAATACATTAAGGAGAGAAATAGTCCCAGCTGGCCCAGGCTCTTGCCTGGTCAAGGTCACAGGGACCTCCTGCACACCAATCTCTGTTCAACTCTGAGTCCAAGGTCCCTTCCATGAGGTCCCCTGAGACTCTGTCCCCAGCAGCCAACTTACAAAGTGCCCACCCCATACCATGCATTGCATCACAGGGTAAAGATGGGTAGACTTGGGGACCACAAGTCACGGGGACAAAGACGTGGCCAGGTCCTAGTGCTGAAAGCTGTCAGCTCAACCCCTGGCAGAGGGGACTTGTGCCCTACCCGCCAGCTGGCAGGGGGCCCGTGACCCCCAGCATCACTACATGGGCTGGCGCTTTTCATCCCACAAACACCTGCTGAGCGTCGGCCACGGCGAGCGCTGGGTGGTCCTGCAGGAGCGGTGCCACTGCAGCACTCTCTCCAGTGGGAGCAGGAGACCTTGGAGGCTCCACTGGATGATGGAGAAAGATTTGTTTGATGAGGGAAGTCAAGCAAATTGGTCCGGTGTTCCCAAGGCGGGAGAAGTCATTTCCACTTAAAGAGTCGGAGAAGCTCGGGGTGGCGGGCACTAGGGGAGGAGGGCATCTTCTCCGCGGATTTTGGTGGTTGGGCGTGGTGGGAGGGAGGTCCAGGAGGGCATGGCCTCAGCAAAAAGAAAAGGGTGGGAAAACAGTGAGCTGTTGGGGAACTTGCACCGGGTAGTGGGACATTCGGCAGGAAGGAAATTACGGCCAGGCGAAGAGGCTGTAATTAAGAACATGATGATGGGGAGCTGTGGGCGGTTTGTAACCAGCGAGTTCTCCGTGTGAGCACTGTTTCAGGAGGACGCACGCGGTGGCAGCCTGCAGGAGGGGCAGGGAGGAGGGAAGAGTCGGGGGTAAGGACTGGGTGGGGCACAAGGCACGAACCTCCGCGGCTAGTTTCGGAGCCCAGGCAAGAGATAATGAGCCGCCGCTGTGTCAGAGGGGCCGCCAGCCGGAGAAATCACAGAGGAGAACCTACCGGAGCTGGCCACGGACGAAACGGAGGGGAGGAAAGAAATCGGAGTCAAGGATGACTTCCACATCTCAACCCAGGTGGCTAGGAACTGGTGGTGACATTAGCAGAAACAAGCAAGTCAGCAGGAAGAGCGGGGTGGGGTGGGAGGGCATGGGACAGCGCACTTCAGTTCAGATATGTGAAGCTGGGAGTGTCACCGAGTCATCTGAGAAAAGGCGCCTGGCAGACAGGCATGGATGCCGTCCCAGGCGGTGAGCATCATGAGCAAGACGGAAAGGTCGATGGCCAGCTGAAAGCACGCCTCTGACATACACGGCAGACAAAGGAGAATGTCCTCAGCCAACCAGAACAAGAGGAACATCACCAGCTAACACTGGAAAAAGGACCGGGTGGTCAATTCGCATGAGAATAAAAACAAATTAACACACTAGGATTAACCTCTCTAGAAATCAGGTAAATGCAAAAGAAAACAAAATAGGCTGCAGCTTCTAAAAAGCAAGTAAGCTCATCTCCCTTCTCCTGTGCCCTTCCCACCCGCCCCCTCCAAAAAAACCCCTAAAACTGCATTTGTAGAAATGCAGAAAAGTCGGTACCTTCCTATACTCCTCGGCAGGCTTCTTGGCAAGAGAGTTTGACCAAGTGCATTAACGGTGTGAAAAAGCACAAACCTTTAGCAACCCCAGCTTTCGGAATTTATCCTAAGGAAAGAATCGTGGCTGATCATCGACGCGCGGCTGGGAGACTTCCGTGACAGCACCATTTTTTGTGGCAGGAAACGGGGGTCCACCCGGGGGTTCCACAAAACAGCATTGATTGTACAAACCACAGTGCGTCCACACTGTAGTGAAAACAGCCGTTTCAAGTGTTGCAGACGAGTGCTTAATAACACAGAAACACGGTCGTGACAAACTGGGCATTGAGGAGAACCAGTGGGAGAAGAGCCGACAGCGCGATCGCATCTTGAGAACAGAAGCTTCATGCCTGTGGGAAGAGGGGAGGCTCGGGGAGGGCGCCGAAACTGGAGGTGATGGGAGCTGGGGCTCAGTCGTCGTGGGGAGTTGGGCGGTGACCAGTGCATTCTTGCCTTCCTTGTGCCTGTTTCTTTTTTTTTTAATATATGCCATTAAAAAGTGCTACTTCTGTAAACAGCCAAACGTAGTAATATTGGAAAAGAAAAGCAGGCGTGACCCCAGGCCTCAGATGGGAAGCCAAGGATGGCGCTCTGGATTAGGAGGCCACCTGCCCTGAGTGGGGCCTAGGGGTTCACTTGGT